TTTGCTCCAATGTCAGGTTGAAGACGAGGGGCGCTAACAATGAGGTTAAGGAGGTGCTATGAAGACCTTTTAGACACATTTAGCTGTTTCTTCTGCTTACAGTTTTGGTTTAATCTCTGGGAAAGGACACTCCAAGACTTACAACTTTCTACAGAACTCAGGATTTACATGTTAAGTATTAGTTACACTATCAGTGTGATATCAGACTCCTTTCATTTGATCAAAAAAGAAAGTTATTTTGAGTATTTAGCATTTTTATGATTCCTGTTCTGACCTGACTAAGTAGCAGTTCCAATGTTTGAAAACTGGGAATTGCTTCTTGTATCTGAGCCTTGCCAGATCCGGGTCGAGACTTGGTTATTAACAGTAAGGACAGAAGACAAAGGAAGGCCCCTATAGACTTAGTCAGCACCAAGAGGGCCGCGGCCTGGCTCTGAGTCTGGCACCGTCCAAGCTACACAGGTGGCAAATTAAGACAAATCTTTATATCCTTCCAGATGAGAATTCAGCAGGGTTTGGCTACCTGACAGAGCTCTGTGTGTTCAGCACTCTGTTTTAACACCCTTTGTGCCTCTTTTATAACACTGTTTACTGCCCAAAGAACAGGGGCGGTACTGCTGTCAGGGTCAGGCTCCATGACATTCTCATGGGCCGCAGCTATCCAGATTTCAGCAAAGACACACTGGCAAAAAGAGTTTCCATCAACATCAGAAATGCATGTCAAAAATAAGATAATGGTCACATCTTGTGTTGTTTGATTGGAGGTTTTCATCTAATTTTCCTGGTGTTTTGCGAGCTACAGAATCACCAGGGGAATTAGAAGGTTACGATGGATCACTGGGATCAGTAAGTGAATGAGAACATCTGGGTATATATTGGGATGAGTGAATGTTAAGGATCATCTGATGGCTCCAGATAAAGGTCAGGAAGTGGCGAGAGTAAGGTGGGACTCAAACGAGAAGGAAAAGGCAACGCTAAAATAATGGATGGTTAGATGGACTATTGGACGACCGATTGATAAACAAATTGGTGCATTGATGGATGGAAGGGTGGGTTAATGGGCAACAGATTGGGGGTTGGCCTGATGGGCAGATATGTGGGTGAAAAGATGAATGGATAACCCATTGGATGAATAGATGGATGGATTGGTAGATTGGTGGATTAACAGACATATATATGGATGGTTGGTGGACAAACAAATGGATGGACTGTAGGACTGATGCATGGATGTAAACATGTGTGGGATGGACAGAATCAAGCTCACCCTTGGTGCGGTTTCCAGCTCGTCCACCTGGTTGCTTCCCAGCAACCTCTTGATGACAAGTTCTACTTTAGAATTGAACTTCATGAATGTCACATAGCAGGTGTAGCACATCAGCAGGCTAATACTTTCTCCCAATGAGATTTCATTATCCAGAAAGAAATAGATGAGCATAAGCAAGCCAATGATATAGAAGGAGACGTCTCTGAACAGAGGCCACCAGGTGAGGTTCAGCACCTCTTTGGAGAACACGGCGCACATCCCAATCACAAACAAGATGTTGAAGACGGCAGAGCCACAATGGTACCAATACTACGTTACTGTGGGAGACAAAGACCCCTATGACAGAGGTGAAGAGCTCTGGGGCGGAGCCACCTGCTGCCATGAAGGTGGCTCCTGCTACATCATCAGAGATCTCCAGCTTCTCTGTGATGACTGTGAGCGCAGGAACAAAGAACTCATCACAAACAATGGCTAAGGCTATGAACATGTACAACATGCCAAACATATGAAACACCACATAGCCCTGGCGTCTCTGCTCAACAGAGAATAAGTCCGTCGGGTAGTCCCCATGATTCAGCTCTACGTCGGATGACTTCATAGCTATTGGTATGCCTCCTGTTGCAACTGAAATGTTGTTGTGCTGAAGAAGTGTTCTTTGGGGCACCGCTGCCTCTGCTGAGCCCTCATCAGCCGATTCCAGCTCCTTGGCCATCGTTGTGACCAGCGACAAGGCACTCCATGAGCAGACTGTGCAGACCACCGCCAAGCTGAGGACGAAGCCCAGAATCCGTCCAGGCCGCAGCTTTCTTTTAACGCTTGCGTAGTGTTGTCTGGTGCATCTGCTTTGACAGCCCAGAAGAGGTTCGGAGCTGGAGGGAGCCATCGTGCCTCGACTTCTTATGGGTAGCATGAAATCCATGGTGTTTGGCGCAGGTTTTTTTTTAGGCAGAGTGGATGAATCCCCCCCCAAAAAAAGCTGGGCTGGTGGTTCTGTTGGCTGCAAGGGCCGCGATTTGACAGGCCACGTCGGTTCACCGATTAGTTTGCATGCTGCTCCCCGATCTAAACACAATGGAAGCCCCCAGTCTGATTCCAGGATCCAGCCCATTCAAAGGCTTCCTCATATTACACTCTGCAAGACACAGAAGACAAAGAAATACAAGTTTAAAAGTCAGGGACTTACATGTGGATAAAGCTGCTCTTACTCTTTCCACTTTAGAGGCCTTTAAGAAGAGTACAGTAGAGAGGTACACATAAATGTTGACATAACTCATGGAATCCCATCTTCTACTGCTTTCTATTCCCATGCATGTGAAAGGAAATAGACTAATTTTGGGGCCTGTATTTTAGAGATAGGACAGTGGATAGAGTCAAAAACTGGGAAGAGAAAGCAAGGAACAACATGGGGGGGGGGGGGGGGACCACAGGAGCGGCATGCTCTCAAAGACTTAGGCCTCTGTTCATGGAGTGCACTTATTAAGCGCTAGGCCACCAGCGCCCCCAAGCTGACTAAAATAATGTACATTATTTGAGAAAAGGGATTTTGTCTCCTGCTTTCTGAATCACTCTGACAATTACTTAAAGACCTCTAAAAGGAAAACTCTGGGCAACTTTGTCGCCTTGTTGGTTTGCTTTGTCACATAATTGAATGAAATGTTTTTTAAGTAAAACAATTAACGTTGTTGAAGTGTCCATGCTAAACAAGACCTTCCTAAAAAGTTCACATGAGCTTTAGATTCTTTTGTTGGTTATAATCCAAACAGATTTCATTGTCTGGCTTAAAGTTCTTGTTGCATATTTTCAAAAGGCTTGGATAAATTTAAATGTTGCTTAGTGGGTATCCACCTCCACTAATTTAAAAAGTCATGCAGTGCTTCAACACACTTTCGCATATGTTTATGTAAATCTATAAATATACCAATCAGTCACAATGCTGTAGCCTTCTTGACATTGTGCTGAGAACCTGCAGTGACTTCTCTCCTTTAAGGAAAGCTAGGACATTAGTGAAAGCTCATTAGGAAGCTATTTAATCCCTGAGAAGATATACTTAGATTAGCCTCAGGCCTTGCACACTGATGCCAATGCACAAAGTCAAAAAGTAGACGTAAGCCAAAAGAGTGAATATGAGGGACACAAAAAAAGAGAGAAATGTATTTGTCGATTCAGGGCCCGGATAACGTAAAGCATGTTCAACTGCAATCTCGAAACTTCATCTCAAAAGTCCTTAATAATGTGAATGCTTCCCTAACTGCTTTGATACAATACATTAAATGTAGATCTTTGTTTGAGTCCAAAAACAAATAGTCCTGTAAAGGAAACATTTTGAAAGGAAGCTGGACTCTACAAGGACATGACAGTGAAGACACACTACAGCTACACATAAAAAAAGCCCAACAAATAAAGTTATTTATCCTCATACCACACTTGGAAATCTCCTGTTCAGCAGGAAGGCGTCGGGCAGGCAGCAGCTCCAGTATCTTCCAATGAATATTCCAGTAAATTGAATCCACAAAGGAGGGAGTGTCAAAGGGGGAGGAACTAGAGGAGGAGGGAGGAGCCCTCGGTCCTCTGCATCTGTCTGGTGTCTTGCAGCTCCACTTGGGCTGAGGGAGGAAATCTCACCTAGGATTTACTGTTGGGACCTTTAGCCTTCTGGACCTTCTTCCTTTGTGGATTCAATTTACTGGAATATTCATTGGAAGATACTGGAGCTGCTGCCTGCCGACGCCTTCCTGCTGAACAGGAGATTTCCAAGTGTGGTATGAGGATAAATAACTTTATTTGTTGGGCTTTTTTTATGTGTAGCTGTAGTGTGTCTTCACTGTCATGTCCTTGTAGAGTCCAGCTTCCTTTCAAAATGTTTCCTTTACAGGACTATTTGTTTTTGGACTCAAACAAAGATCTACATTTAATGTATTGTATCAAAGCAGTTAGGGAAGCATTCACATTATTAAGGACTTTTGAGATGAAGTTTCGAGATTGCAGTTGAACATGCTTTACGTTATCCGGGCCCTGAATCGACAAATACATTTCTCTCTTTTTTTGTGTCCCTCATATTCACTCTTTTGGCTTACGTCTACTTTTTGACTTTGTGCATTGGCATCAGTGTGCAAGGCCTGAGGCTAATCTAAGTATATCTTCTCAGGGATTAAATAGCTTCCTAATGAGCTTTCACTAATGTCCTAGCTTTCCTTAAAGGAGAGAAGTCACTGCAGGTTCTCAGCACAATGTCAAGAAGGCTACAGCATTGTGACTGATTGGTATATTTATAGATTTACATAAACATATGCGAAAGTGTGTTGAAGCACTGCATGACTTTTTAAATTAGTGGAGGTGGATACCCACTAAGCAACATTTAAATTTATCCAAGCCTTTTGAAAATATGCAACAAGAACTTTAAGCCAGACAATGAAATCTGTTTGGATTATAACCAACAAAAGAATCTAAAGCTCATGTGAACTTTTTAGGAAGGTCTTGTTTAGCATGGACACTTCAACAACGTTAATTGTTTTACTTAAAAAACATTTCATTCAATTATGTGACAAAGCAAACCAACAAGGCGACAAAGTTGCCCAGAGTTTTCCTTTTAGAGGTCTTTAAGTAATTGTCAGAGTGATTCAGAAAGCAGGAGACAAAATCCCTTTTCTCAAATAATGTACATTATTTTAGTCAGCTTGGGGGCGCTGGTGGCCTAGCGCTTAATAAGTGCACTCCATGAACAGAGGCCTAAGTCTTTGAGAGCATGCCGCTCCTGTGGTCCCCCCCCCCCCCATGTTGTTCCTTGCTTTCTCTTCCAGTTTTTGACTCTATCCACTGTCCTATCTCTAAAATACAGGCCCAAAATTAGTCTATTTCCTTTCACATGCATGGGAATAGAAAGCAGTAGAAGATGGGATTCCATGAGTTATGTCAACATTTATGTGTACCTCTCTACTGTACTCTTCTTAAAGGCCTCTAAAGTGGAAAGAGTAAGAGCAGCTTTATCCACATGTAAGTCCTGACTTTTAAACTTGTATTTCTTTGTCTTCTGTGTCTTGCAGAGTGTAATATGAGGAAGCCTTTGAATGGGCTGGATCCTGGAATCAGACTGGGGGGCTTCCATTGTGTTTAGATCGGGAGCAGCATGCAAACTAATCGGTGAACCGACGTGGCCTGTCAAATCGCGGCCCTTGCAGCCAACAGAACCACCAGCCCAGCTTTTTTTGGGGGGGGATTCATCCACTCTGCTAAAAAAAAACCTGCGCCAAACACCATGGATTTCATGCTACCCATAAGAAGTCGAGGCACGATGGCTCCCTCCAGCTCCGAACCTCTTCTGGCTGTCAAAGCAGATGCACCAGACAACACTACGCAAGCGTTAAAAGAAAGCTGCGGCTGGACGGATTCTGGGCTTCGTCCTCAGCTTGGCGGTGGTCTGCACAGTCTGCTCATGGAGTGCCTTGTCGCTGGTCACAACGATGGCCAAGGAGCTGGAATCGGCTGATGAGGGCTCAGCAGAGGCAGCGGTGCCCAAAGAACACTTCTTCAGCACAACAACATTTCAGTTGCAACAGGAGGCATACCAATAGCTATGAAGTCATCCGACGTAGAGCTGAATCATGGGACTACCCGACGGACTTATTCTCTGTTGAGCAGAGACGCCAGGGCTATGTGGTGTTTCATATGTTTGGCATGTTGTACATGTTCATAGCCTTAGCCATTGTTTGTGATGAGTTCTTTGTTCCTGCGCTCACAGTCATCACAGAGAAGCTGGAGATCTCTGATGATGTAGCAGGAGCCACCTTCATGGCAGCAGGTGGCTCCGCCCCAGAGCTCTTCACCTCTGTCATAGGGGTCTTTGTCTCCCACAGTAACGTAGGTATTGGTACCATTGTGGCTCTGCCGTCTTCAACATCTTGTTTGTGATTGGGATGTGCGCCGTGTTCTCCAAAGAGGTGCTGAACCTCACCTGGTGGCCTCTGTTCAGAGACGTCTCCTTCTATATCATTGGCTTGCTTATGCTCATCTATTTCTTTCTGGATAATGAAATCTCATTGGGAGAAAGTATTAGCCTGCTGATGTGCTACACCTGCTATGTGACATTCATGAAGTTCAATTCTAAAGTAGAACTTGTCATCAAGAGGTTGCTGGGAAGCAACCAGGTGGACGAGCTGGAAACCGCACCAAGGGTGAGCTTGATTCTGTCCATCCCACACATGTTTACATCCATGCATCAGTCCTACAGTCCATCCATTTGTTTGTCCACCAACCATCCATATATGTCTGTTAATCCACCAATCTACCAATCCATCCATCTATTCATCCAATGGGTTATCCATTCATCTTTTCACCCACATATCTGCCCATCAGGCCAACCCCAATCTGTTGCCCATTAACCCACCTTCCATCCATCAATGCACCAATTTGTTTATCAATCGGTCGTCCAATAGTCCATCTAACCATCCATTATTTTAGCGTTGCCTTTTCCTTCTCGTTTGAGTCCCACTTACTCTCGCCACTTCCTGACCTTTATCTGGAGCCATCAGATGATCCTTAACATTCACTCATCCCAATATATACCCAGATGTTCTCATTCACTTACTGATCCCAGTGATCCATCGTAACCTTCTAATTCCCTGGTGATTCTGTAGCTCGCAAAACACCAGGAAAATTAGATGAAAACCTCCAATCAAACAACACAAGATGTGACATTATCTTATTTTTGACATGCATTTCTGATGTTGATGGAAACTCTTTTTGCCAGTGTGTCTTTGCTGAAATCTGGATAGCTGCGGCCCATGAGAATGTCATGGAGCCTGACCCTGACAGCAGTACCGCCCCTGTTCTTTGGGCAGTAAACAGTGTTATAAAAGAGGCACAAAGGGTGTTAAAACAGAGTGCTGA